GGCCCGCAGGGCCCGGTCACACCCTGCCACGCGCGAAGGGCCCAGCCGGCGGGTGGTGGTTCCCCCCTTCCTGCGGGCACGCGCACTGGCCAGCGCAGGCGAGGCTCGGGCTGACAGGCGGCGCGTGTGCGGGGGCACGAGTGGGGACCCGCGTCATCTCCGCGGGGCCGCGGCCTGCAGCCCACGCTGTGCGTCGCGGGGCTTTTCCCCAGGCTCCGTCTCAGCCCCGCCGCGAGGGAAACCACCTTTGTGAGTTGCAGCCTGGCTTCAGCGGTGTCCTGACGCCTGACCCGCGGCCGGCGGGTGCAGGCACCTGGGAAACAGTGTCATTCCGGGGGAGCCTTGGACACTGGCCGTGGGAGGCCAAGCGCTGCCCTCCAGAAGCTTCCCCGGGTGGCCACGTGCTTGGAAGGGACAGGCAGGCCGAGGTGGCCAGCTCCCCGCAGGTCACTGCCCGACCCCCTTTGTATAGTTTTGTCACGGCCACTTGATACCTGCCCTACGATTAGTCAACATTTTTCTTTTACTCGACTCATCCTTTTTTACTTACGTTTAAAGGGCAAAAGTTTACGACAACACAGGTACATGGAAAATCAGTAGCACTGGCCCAAACCTGAAGGTGATTATAGAAACACAGGATGCAAATGACACCCTGATGTGACATGGTGGCCTGGCACCGCTGCCCGCCAGCGCCGAGCCCCGGACCTCTCCACGCTGTGGGAGGGAGGGGCCGCCGGCCAGCTGGGCTCTGCTGGAGAAACGGCCTTCGAGGTGGATGGAAAAGGGAGCTGGTGTGACTTTCCTGCTACTCAGGACCCGGGCCCTGGGTGACTCCTAAAGGTAACTCCGGAACGGAACACGCGGCCTCTGGGCCCGCCCTGCTCTACGCCGGCTGAGACTTCACTCCTTTACCCTTTAGGCCCGGGCACTGAGCCAGGTCCTCTTGCCTTCCCCACTCTAGAGGCCCAGAGAGGTCAGCGAATTGCTGAAGGCCACAGAGCCTTGGTTGAGCTACTGAATGTTGGAGTGCGGAGCTGGGTTTGAGCCTGGCCACGCGGCTCAGGGTGGTGCCCCGCACACATCCCGCCCCTGCAGCTTCACAGACGGGAAACAGCCCCACAGCACAGAGCCCACACTCCGCCTCAGCCCCCATGCTCCTGCCAGTGAGTCAGTCAACCCACGGGACTTTTTTTGGGGGTCAGATGTCTGGGCTGGCAGAGTGGGTCTGCCCAGGTTCTCTTTTCCGTCTGAAAAAGCCAGTCGAGAGACCAGGCCAAGCAGACACCATAACTGAGGGCTCTCAGCGTAAGGTTGGGCGCCTTTTGGAGACCTGGGGATCATTTCGGCTACTCCCGCACCTGTGAGCACTCACCGCACCTGGGAGGTGGGAGGCGGGTGCACTTATCGACCTCACCTGGGCCACTCCGACCAGGTAAGGCTGAGAGGAGGGCCCCATCTACAGTCAGGAGGGTGCCGAGCAGGTGGCCTGGGTGTCTGGGGTTAGCAGTGGGTGTGGAGCAGCGGCCCTTCCAGGGTGAGGGCGAGGGAGCCACAGGCCATTCAGGCCGCGGGAGCCCGGCTGGGGCTGCTGGTCAGGCAGCTGCGGAGGGCAGGCGGGGACGGATCCAGAGACTGGATGGAGCCCACCTTTCATTACCTCCCCCTGGCGGTCCAACCAGAGCCTCGCCCTCCCCCCAGCCAGAAAGAATGGGCTCCCCTGCGTGGGTTATCCTCCCAGGGAACTAGGAGTTTATTATCCACTGAGCCAACTGGTAAGACTGCACGGAACCCGCAGGCTTTAGAGAAAGAGTCGCACCCGCCCACGTTGGCCAGGGTGACTTCTTGACCCAGGGCCAGGAGCAGGAGCCGGCCAGCCCGGATGGGGTGGGCCCCGGGCCAGGAGCTTCAGGGGCAAAGCCTTCCCCCCGGATCTGGAGGCCTTGGTCCCAGGGCGCCCAGGGTGGTGCCGGTGCCCCACCCCCGCCACCGGCCTGCCCAGGGCACCTTCCCGAGTGGGGCTCCCGCGCTCCCCCGTGTGGCCGCAGACGGCAGCACTGCTCCTGGGACCCGCCCGAGGAGCGAGGAGGGCGCGGGCGGGAAGGGCCTGTGCGTTGTCAGAACCTAAACCTGGGCGGGGGCCAGATTGCCGGCACCTAACGACCAAGCGTGGGCTGGGGCTGTGGGGAGGGACACTGAGGCACGCGGTGCAGGGTCCCAGGTCAGCTGGGGAGACAAGGTCCATTATGTCCTGTCCATCCCGGCGAGCGGGCGGGCTCAGGGCCTTGCGGGCAGCTTCTGGAGGCATCCTGGCGAGATGGGTTGAGGAGAGAGTGTGGGGTCCGCTGGAGGAGATGAAGGGACTCGGGGACGGGGGGAGTGGTGGGGAGTCTGCCCTGTGAGGACCCATCTCTTCTCAACCCTCTCTCCACCTCCTGCGCCTATGACCTTGAGCGATGGGGCATTAGGCGACCTTGGCAAGAAGAACCGCAACAGCCAGCAGCCATGTCATCATAGGGGGGCGGTGGGCAGGCAGGAGGGTGGACCCTAAGGGAAGATGGAGGACCCAGTGAGCGAGGGAAGTGGGATTGTCCCTAGTGGGCAGGCGAGGTACCTAAACTGCCCTCACGAGCCCCCTGAATTCACCTCTCAGCGCCCCTCTTTGTGCACCTGCCCCAGCGCACCTCCCTGCTCTCCTCCAGCCAGGCCCCCACTGTGGTCCCGCTCCCAGGTGACCCTCGCCCCTGAGACGGGGAAGGGTGGGGTGGGCGTGGGAGGCTAGCCGAGGGTGGCTCCAGGAAGGAAGCCCTCAAGTGGGGCTGTGGGAGGGTGGGCTCCGTGGGACCAGGAGTCTGCAGGGCCTGTCCTGGGCAGGCCACCCCTCCGGTCCTCAGTCTCCCCTTCAAGAGGCGCGTCCCACCGGCTCATCCCCTGCACTGCTGAGGTGCGGGGCATGCCCTGCAACGCCAGGTGTCGTGGGAATGTCGGGGACAGGGGAGGAGAGGCGGCCCACGCAGCTGGTGGGCACCCTGTTCACGGGGCGGGCACGCCCACCAGCAGCCGCCTGGTGGCAGCGAGGGCGCAGGCGGAGGGCCTCACCTGATGTGGTTGTGGGCATCGAGGTGCTGGGGCCCCCATCGACGGCCTCGGACGTGAGCATGGGCAGCAGGGTGCTGAGGTGCCCGTCGTTGGCCTCGGGCACGATGCCCAGCAGCTTGCACAGCAGCTCGTACACGTGGACGCTCTCGAAGGGCTCCACCTGCAGGCCCCTCCGGAAGCTGGGGCCCACCGCCCGGAAGATGGTCTTCATGTCCATGGCCGAGTTGTCGAAGCCGTGCTCCCCGTTGTTGAACTGCACATTCACCCTCTGCGGGGGGGCATCCTGAGTGCTTGCTGGGGCCCCTGGCCACCGCCCGCTCCCCAGGCCCCCAGAGCACCCCCTGCAGGGCGGCAGAGGAGCCCTAAAGGGGGTCAAATGTGGGGGCAGGAAGGATTCTGAGCCTTAGAAGATCAGTGGCCCCAAGAGAGAGCCTCTGCAAAGACCCTGGGACATAAATGGGGACCCCAGTAAACAGTGGAGCTGTCACCCCCAGGCCACACCCAGGGGCTCCTACGTGACCCCGTGCCTCGGCAAGGCTTCCCTGGTTCCCTCTCCCTTCTGGGCGTCTCGCTTCCCCTCAAGCACCCCCTCAGCCCTCTGCTGACGGGATCGGGCTCCTCCCTCGGCCTGGTCCCTGTCGCTCTTATGGCTGACCTCCCCACACGTTACCCTACATGCATGTGCACACAAGCACACACATGCACATGTAAACACACACGCATAAGTGCACACACATGCACATGTAAACACACAGAAGCATGCACACACAAGCACAAGTGCACACACGAACACACATGTACATGTATACAGACAAGGCTTGTACACACATGTACACATGCACATACACACCCATTGCACAGTGATGACTGTGTCCCTTTGGTGGTCAGTGACTCTCAGATTGGAGACTAGCTGGAAATAGGGGGTGCTTTTCGTAGGGGTGGAAAGAGACGACCCAGCAGCCCTGTGAAGGCGCCCGCCCCGCTCCCACTGCGGGACTCACCCCATGGATGACGTAGCCAAGGTCACTGTACATGAGCAGCGGCGTGACCCGGGAGTTATTGGCGTAGTGGAACGACTTGGGGAAGGACTCCTTCTTGTAGACGTGGAGCTTGGGGTGCGCATCCTTGAGGGCCTGATACACCGCCTCCAGCTTCCCTGCCTTGGGGACCAGCATCCCGTTGGGCCCGTAGTCCAGCAGCTCAAAGTCGACGTCCTTGAAGGTGAAATTGGGGAAGCTGTGGAGCTCCACCAGGTCGCTGGCTTTCTTGAGGACAGTGGTCATGCCATGGTCGGACGTCACGATCAGGTTGAGGCTGCTCTCGAGGCCGCTGCGCCGGATGCTGTCCCGCAGGTACCCCACCGTCCTGTCCACCTGCTGCACCATGTCCTTCCTCTGCTGGGACTCGGGGCCGAACTTGTGGCCCGTGGAGTCTGGCTCCCCGAAGTAGAGAGTGACCAGGTCCAGGCCGTCCTCTGTGAACCACTTCATCACCGTGTCCACGTTGGCCCGCC